AGAGGAGGTTTGGGGAAAAAGTAGATGGTGATTGGAGTGGTAATAGATGATCGGAGCAATGAGGGATGACCGGAGTAATGAGGGATGATCGGTGTTGATTGGGTTGCAAGATGAGAAGACATCTAAGGATAGAGAGAGACGAGAGGTGATGGAAGATAAAGATGGGGGTATTTAAGGAATTTTAAATTTTTTAATATATAAATTAATTAAAATGACATGGACTAAGTTATTTTTCACGTAATTAAAGATTTCAAACAAAAATTGATTTCGTGGCAACTTAACGTGCCATCTGGCACTTCCGTCGATGGAAGGATGAAATTGGTTCCAAAAATTGAAGTTCAAGGATTTTTTTAGTACTTTTTGAAGTTCGAGGGTAGTTTTAGTTCAAAAATGAAAGTTGAGGGACTGAATCGGGATATAACCTGTGATTTTTAGTAATCGAGAGTTGGTAAAAAAAAAATTACAGATGAGGTGAAAACGGTAACCAGGTGGAGCCTCGGTCGTTTGGAAATTACTGTAATACTGTCTGTCCAGTCTCTTTGTCCAACTGTCCAAGGAAAGAAAGGATCGGGTAGGACAGACAAGAAAACTTCTAGGTGCTGACGATTGACATGACGTGTTCCGAAGTACAAAAGACGGCAGTTACCGGTGAAATGGAGGGCCAAAAGGCTGTCCGGCGTCTAAATCTGACGGCTGTAATTCAGCCGTGACCCAGACACGAAAGTGATGCCGTGCCCGTGTCAGATTAGCACAGAAATAGAGGATACCATTAGTTACTCATGGGAACTTTCCTTGTTATTGGAAAGTGTAGGCCCCACCGTCCAATCCGTCCGAGTCAAGTACTACGTCTCTGACTCTCACCGGTTCGGTTTCGGCTCTATGTCCAATCATGGGACTTAAAGACTCACGTCACTTGCATTTGCTGAGCGTGCAATGCACGACAGAGTCGAGGTACGTGTCACTGCCACGTGTTCTGTCTTTCCTACTCACTTTTGACTTTCCTTTCTTCCTTTTCGTTTTTTCTTGGATGCAAGCTCAGCTCTTTTGGTTCTAAATAATTATTTATTTCGTTTATTTTTAATCATTTTAATTTATTTTTATTGTTTAATATAAATTTTAAATAAAAATTTAATATATTATATAAATAATAATTAAATTTTTTAATAAAATAAAAATAATCAACAAAAAATTTT